ACGCGCACCCTTTTGCTGTTGCCGGGTGACATGTTTGTCAATTGTGCTTGTAGCACACTGCCGTGATGTGCGATTAATAACAGGCCGCCGGAGCTGGTCAGGTTATTACCGGACCAACTTTTCAGCCAGGAACACGTGTTTCCTACTGTGGAGGGCAGGTGTACCTGTCATACCCTACACAAAGTATAACGGCCATGATACTACCGGACCACTCAAACGCTGCATCCGGCGGTCCTGCGTAAGGCGATAATAATTACGAGCCATGCATTGGTTTGTTTTGCCAATGGCTCTTTTTGGTACATGGCAATGTGCTATCATTCGTGGCATTTCACAGAGTGACGAATGTGAGAAGACAAAACAAAAAGAAAAGAACTACTTCCTCCGTTAACAAAAACTTCGTGATGGAATTTTGAGGGGCTGATTTGGGCACAAACTGCCGTGAAATGAGTCCCAATCACTTTCTTGGCCTTCCCTGGCATGCCATGACAGAGGTACGAGGCAAGGAAAGCGGTCTTTCACAACAAGTCGAGCGGAATCGATGGTTGCGCTGCAGAAACATAGGTGATGACAGTCATGGCGAGCGAAACTGAAATGCCACTTCTCCGAGGGGATATTGCGCTGCTTGGCCTCTCTACCACTTTAGCACTGAGTACGTTGGAGAGTGATAGAGAGCGATAAAACGGAGCAGCGAGCCCACACAATGAGCGAGTGAACAAGGAGCTGTTCCGATCGCACGGCTCCATGAAAATAATTCTGAACTGAAGTAACACGTTAGTTCTTGTTCGACCTGCGCAAAGCCCAGATTCGAATGCTGATGATGACCATGCATTCTTTCAGAAGTCTGCAGTCAGATGCGAGTCTCGTGGCTAAAGAAAGTCGACTGGACTTGCTAGCCGCTGCCGTTCAGTGCTGGTATCCATTAGAGAAAATGGAATCAGTTTAGCTGTGCCTTTACTCCTCGTTTCGCGGAGTTCTGGAGAGCGAAGATGAAACCAGGGAGTCGTAAAATATTTTTCACGACTCCCTGGAGTGGTGGAAACGAGTAATCGCCATCGCGGCGGATCACGCAGCTTGAAAGCAAACTTACTTGAACAGCGGCGACATCAAGCAGAGTGATCAAAGAAGCCGAGGCAAGGCTGAAACGAGCTGAACAACGACTCGAGAGAGAGATGACGACTCGCGTACAGCAGATGACGACTCGCGTGCAGCAGATGACGACAGCGACGCAGGTCAAAAATGAATCGAGCGAAAGCGACGCAAACTGAACTCTCTGCTCATTCAGCCAACAGTTTCTCTTGTAAATGCGCTGTACATAGGCTGAATCACTGTCGTCCAGTAATTTGAAGTCGATGCAAACTGTTCTTGACCTGTTCTAAGCGTTTTCATATCCATTAAAATCCATCACGAAGTTTTTGTTAACGGAGGAAGTAATTTTAATAATGGCAAACCTCGGCCCCCACAATTATCAACCTCCGAGCGCTGACCAACTATCTGTAGTATCACCACTTTGCGCTGGAGTCATTGAAGACAATGCCGGATCACCTGCAGCTAGGGGATGTGATGATCGGGATAGACTTAAGAGATGCTTATTTCTCCAGTCCAGCGGCTCGATCGTCAGTTTCTCCAGTTTTCAGTGGTATCCACAGATTTCCCAGTTTAACTGTCTACTGTTTGGATTGCGCAGTGGTCCCAGAGGCCAGAGTATTCACCAAGACTGGCTCTGCACCCTGTGGTGAAGATGGTACGTTAGCTCGGCCTACACCTGGTTATTTACCTCGTCGACGTATTTATCATGGCACGGACAACGTCCGACCTGCTACCATTCTTCATCTGCTGATTGGTCTTGGGTTCGACATCAACTGGACGCAGTCGTATCTGATTCCCACCACGCAGATACAATACCTGGGTATTCAGGTCAACTCCGTCACCATGGAGTTCTCATTGCCAGATTCGGAAACATCCACGCTTCAACAACAATGTGCGCGTCTGCTGGCTGCTCACACCGTATGTCTTCGGGGTATTGCGTCAATTGTGGGCATGATGGTGTCCACCATGGTTACCGTGGTTCCTGCATCACTTAACTATCGTCGCTTGCAGTGTTTGAAAACCACGTTCCTACGGCAGGGTCCCTTTTACACATTCAGATTACTCTCAGTCATGATTGCCATGCCGAGATTCATTAGTGGATAATGCCAATGTCACCACAGGCGGCTGATGGACATCTGCCGAGAAACAGCTTTACATGAATGTCCCGGAACCGCTCACAGCCCAGTATGCTGTCCAGTCGCTAGCGCCTTCTCTATACCAGGGCAGTATTCTCCTGCAGCTCGACTAACGTGTGGCTGTTCACTGTTTGCCTCGCACTGGCAGCCGTTCATCACCGACATTAGACAGGATAGCTGCCACGCTGTGGGAGTGGTGTCAGTCTGCTCAGAGATATCACTTTGATTCCCAATATCTACCTGATGCAGTGAATACAGTTGCTGATTATCACTCTCGCCATCACACCGATACCAGCGCCTGGATGCTCGACCGGTCAGTTTTCCAGGATCACCAGATCATGTGACCGAGTACCTGCGACCTGTTTGCATCTCGCACTAATTTTCGACTGCACACGTACGTCAGTTGGCGCCCATATGCACACAGCCCGCATGCCTTCCGTCTCGACTGGTCCTGCCTGCAAGTCTATGCCTTCCCTCCAATCTATCTGATTGGCAAATGCCCGGCCAGGGTTGTTCTACAGGAGATCCCATCCATAGTCATGGTCACTCCGCTTTGGTCCGGCCAGGCTTGGGTTCCAGCTCCAGCTCTCTTGGCACTATTCCGCGCGTGCTGTCAGCCTCTCCGGTCTTGTTCACCGGTCCAGATCACAAAGTTCACCCGTCAGTACAGTCAGCTCACTTCACCCTGGTCGCATGGAAACTCTCCGGGCTAGCAACAGCCGCAGCGGAGTTTCGGGCGACACTGCCAACCTACTCTTGGCGTCATGGCGTTCCCTCACCGATCGTGTGTATCAGTCGGCATGGAACACATGGTGTGTTTGGTGTGCCACACGGCAAATTGCTTCCCTGGGTGTTCTCTCAGACGTCCTCGATTTCTGAGGTGGCTCCTCACTTCCATGTCGGATGCTGGTGTGGACACCATCGTTTTCACGACGCATTCCACACGTAGTGCGGCCACCTCCGCTGCCTGTCGGAAGGGAGCCTCTGTACCCGACATACTCTGGGCCACCGCCTGGGCGCAATCCTCTATATTCCAGAGGTTTCATTCTCGTGATGTTTCACCCTCCTCCTTCTGATGGCACCACCTTCGGTGCGACTGTCCTTGGCTGACAGTCTGTTATTCCGCAGCTCATGATTGCGGCCGAAAGGGTCCACGGCTTCAGTCCGCCGTGTTCTTTTCTCCTACACATTTAGGTTTTTCTCAGACCTTTTCCTTTCCAAAGGTCCTGTATATACCTGGTGCACCAGTTTTTCCCAGGTGTTCCCACTCTGGAGTTTGCATTGTCCGTTAATTCTGCATAGTTGACAATGCTAAGTTGTATTCCATTTTGGTATGATCTACTCAACTCGCCGTTCCGTGCGTAAGTTTTATGATAATTCCATCTGTACTCAGTAATGGTCATTCGGTGCCTGGCATAGTGTGGGCTGAGTATGCTTGTTTATCATGCCACGCTACTTTTACTAGAACTTTCACTAAGTCCTTGAGTGGACAGTGTGATAGTTTCTTGTTTCCGCTCAGGGTGCGGTGTAGGAAATGCTCATTTCGCTAGAAAGTTCAAGAATCTATTTATTCATTTATTTCTTATTTGTCTGAAGTCACTAACTAACTTACATTAAAATTACACTCTTCTCAGATATTTATTTACCGGTTTTCATTCCGTTTGGCTATTGCAGACGCTCGTTTGTAGTGTGCGTCTCATACTACGTAACTGTTTCTGCGTACCGGTAACTTCTTCAGCGGACACAGATATGTGTAACGTGTGCACGTATAACTTGTTCTACATACGCGCGCACCCCTTTGTGTGCGCATGCTGTTCCGTTTTTGCTATGCTCTTGTAAAATGAAATCATTCTTGTTTTCGAGTTATCTGTCGTCCATTGCTTGGACTTCTTTGGAGCGAATAATTATTGAAAGGAAGAGTCAAGATGTATTCTCTTGTTGGAATAATGACCATGAGCCTGATGTCAGTGATGAGAATATAAATTTAGTTAATCCTCCAGTTCCCAAGGAATTCGTATGTTGAGAATTTCGTACATGGTCCTTCGAGCTTCAGCACGAGCCCGGGAAATTTGATTTGTAATTATGGCCGAGACGGAGACTGAGGATCAGCCCAAGACGACAACAGTGTCGGTCCAACGGTTAGTTCGATTGCGTGGAGCACATCGGTCAGCTGCCTCCAATTTGGTATCTAGAATCGATGATTTTGTGGCCCAGATTTCCTATGTTACGAGGAGCTCACCCGAGTGGCAAGGGGAAGATCTCAGCGTAAATGATAGGGAGGATTGTGCCTTGGACCTGAAGAAACTCCGGGAGAAAGTGGATTTGCTGGGGCGCTTGGACTCCCAAATTTTGGACGCCATCGAGGACGACGACATTGAATCTGAAATTTGTGATGCAGCGGATTATCTTATGACGTACGAGTCCCGCATCGGCAGGGCTACGCGAGCCATTTCAGATGCAAGTCAACTGTTGGAGAATATCGCCAGTGTACGGGCTTCCCAATCCTCACAGCCAAAGTCAGAGTCACTGTCACCCGTTTCCGGAAAGGATGAGTGCTGCACAACAAGCAAGGCCAAGGGCAATCTGGACAGTCGGGAACCAGCTCCAGATGAGACTGGTGAGGACTCGCCAGTTGTCGCCCCGTGTGACTCGCGTTCCAGTGTAGTATCAAGTACGAGTGCCAGTAGTGGAAGCAGCTTCCACCACCGGATGAAGCTGCCCAAGCTAGAGATTCCTAAGTTCAGCGGTGACATCTGAGCTTGGTCCTCGTTTTGGGACATGTTTGGGTCGGCCATTGATGGCAATGACACCCTGGATGACGTTGATAAGTTCAACTACCTAAAGTCCTTGGTAGTGGGAGAGGCACGAGAGGCAATTGCAGGATTTGCCCTGACAGGAGCCAACTACAGGGCTGCAGTTGACGTCCTCAAGCAACGATTCGGCAACGTCCAGGTCATTGTCGCCAGCCACATGGAGGGCCTCTTGAATGTTGCTTCTGTCACCAGCGAGGATGATGCAACTGGCCTCAGGAAGCTATACACCACCGTTGAGACACACATTCGTAGTTTACAGTCCCTCGGGATGAGTCGCGAGTCTTATGGATCCCTGTTGACGTCTGTTCTGATGTCCCGATTACCGGCAGAGTTCCAGCTCATTGTCAGCCGCAAGATTGCCGGGACTGAGCAGCATTGGGAGATCAGTGAGCTGCTATCGGCTGTCCATCTGGAGCTGTGTGCCAGGGAGCGAGCGGCACCGGCAGCTAAGCCAACCATCCCGATAGCCCAACCCAGAAATTCCGCACCAGCCACAACGTCAACACTCTACACTGGTGCGCCTGAGCAACTGAAGTGCTTCTTTTGCAATGATAGTCACACTGCCGGGAGATGCGTAACAGTGACGAATGTTGCCACCCGTAGACAGATCTTGAGGAAGCAAGGCAGGTGCTTCCGATGCCCCAAACGCAATCACATGGCAAAGACCTGTCCGAATGCATACTCTTGTGTCAAGTGTGGTGGGAGCCACAACGTAGCCATATGTAGTGGCGAGAGGCAGCAGAAGGCAGAGATGAACATGCAGGCTGTTGCTGCGAATGCTTCCGTGGACCCTCGCAGACAGGAATCGGTATTGCTACAGACCGCCAAGGCCGTGGCATATAATGTCACACAGTCCGATCACAGCGCCGCTATCCGACTGTTGATGGACGGCGGCAGCCAACGCACGTATGTTACGAGCGCTCTCCGTGACGCTTTGCAACTGCCGGTCCTGGATCAATGTAAGGTCACTATCAAGGCGTTCGGCCAGGACAACACAACGTCCCAAGTAGTTGATGTAGTTCAACTTGGAATCCGAGTCCCCGACGGCGAGGACATCACGGTACAAGCCTATGCTGTGCCGCTATTGTGTGACCCGATTACTGGCCAATCCATGCACACGTCAGTGGAGTGCTGTAGTCACCTCGATGGATTGGCGCTAGCCGACACCAGATATGACACAGATACTCGATCAGTGGATCTGCTAATCGGCGCGGACCTCTACTGGACTATTGCAACGGGTAACATCATCTGAGGTGCCGACGGACCTGTGGCCATTGAGACAAAGCTAGGGTGGGTCCTATCCGGTCCAGCCACCGTACTTCCCACGCCAGAAGATACCAGTGCACTGGCCACGCACGTCTTCTCCGTCGAGGAAGAGGCATCAGCAGCAGATCGAGAGCTCACTGACTCCCTGCAAAGGTTCTGGGAAATTGAATCACTTGCAGACCAGGACAAGACGGAGTATGAAGAACTCGTTGAGACAATCGATTTCAACAATGGACGGTATGAGGTCAGACTAAGGACGATCATCCATTGTTGCCGGACAATTTCCAACTCTGCAAGTCCAGACTCGTCGGTCTCCACAAATGGCTCCGCAAGGATCCTGAGCTGCTCTAGCCCTACAATGACACCATTGAAGAGTAGCTGCGTACCGGCATCATTGAACCCGTGGAGACAGAAGACAGACAGGAAATCAGCGCTAGTAGCATGCCTGAGGAGTGCCGTGCAGAGATGAGCAGAAGAGAAATGGAAGTCGTCGACAACTCAGCCGCCTTACTGACAACGACACATCCATTGTCAGACATCGGACTGGTCATCGACTGTACCCGATTCAGCAATTACAACCGACTTCTGAGAGTGACAGCTACAGTGCTGAAGGCCGTACAGCGCTTCAAGTCTAAACGGCAAGAGAGTGAGAGCGAACTCACGGCTGGAGATTTAGATCTCGCCGAGAAGCTGTGGATCAACCATCTTCAACTTGCGCTCCCGTCTCATCAGCACTACAAGTCTTGGCAGGCAGAATTCGGTCTGTTTGTGGACAACGGTCTCATCCGCTGCGGTGGCCGACTCCAGAACTCTGATTTGTCTCTGACAACTAAGCACCCGTACCTTCTGCCGAAGGATCACCACGTGACTGACCTGATTGTTAATGAGTGCCATGCCCGAGTGATGCATGGTGGGGTCAAGGCCACACTAACGGAGTTTCGCGCACGTTTCTGGCTCGTGAAGGGACGTCAACGGATACGTCAAATTATTCACAGCTGCAGAACTTGTCGTCGCCACAACTCGAAGCCATACACAGGACACAAAGCACCTCCGCTACCAAGATTCCGGGTAGAGCAGACTACTTCATTCAGCCACGTGGGAGTTGACTATGCCGGACCACTACACATCCGGAGCGCCATTACTTGAAGAGACCAGTCCAGCGCCTCTATCCCGTAGAGTTGTCTAACAGTCAGCAGGTTGACGTTGAGCAGCATGAAGACGCTCCAGCACGCCGACCAAGATCGCAGAGACGTGCAGCTGCTCACGCAAATGAGATGAGACAAGCGCTGATCACTAATAACTGCATATAATTTGGGTCTACTCACAATTGTCCATAACTGGCCAATTGGGGGGAGTGTAGGAAATGCTCATTTCGCTAGAAAGTTCAAGAATCTATTTATTCATTTATTTCTTATTTGTCTGAAGTCACTAACTAACTTACATTAAAATTACACTCTTCTCAGATATTTATTTACCGGTTTTCATTCCGTTTGGCTATTGCAGACGCTCGTTTGTAGTGTGCGTCTCATACTACGTAACTGTTTCTGCGTACCGGTAACATCTTCAGCGGACACAGATTCGTGTAACGTGTGCACGTATAACTTGTTCTACATACGCGCGCACCCCTTTGTGTGCGCATGCTGTTCCGTTTTTGCTATGTTCTTGTAAAATGAAATCATTCTTGTTTTCGAGTTATCTGTCGTCCATTGCTTGGACTTCTTTGGAGCGAATAATTATTGAAAGGAAGAGTCAAGATGTATTCTCTTGTTGGAATAATGACCATGAGCCTGATGTCAGTGATGAGAATATAAATTTAGTTAATCCTCCAGTTCCCACGGAATTCGTATGTTGAGAATTTCGTACATGCGGAACCGACTTTAAACAAGACATAGTTATATCTCACCGGAAACTCCGACATGCAATTTCCCATTTTACAAGCAATGGAAAATTGTGTAGTGAAGTGGGAATTGTATAAGGAGTTGGAGGTGAGATATAACTATGTACCACCCACCCACCCTGTTTGGGTTTGCTCTCCATGAAAATAGGCCTGAAGGGTCCTGGATGAGCTGCATCAAGTACAGCTTCATTATAATATTGAACTTAAAAAAATGCTGTGTTCGAGCATGAAATCGCGTAAATCGCGAGGGCTAGACATAGTTCTATCTCACCTCCAACTCCTTATACAATTCCCACTTCACTACACAATTTTCCATTGCTTGTGAAATGGGAAATTTTCTTTCGCATAGTGCATTTCGTACTCTTCCAAGTATCCATTGTTGTTTATTGCTAAAGAAGAGGTTGGTTTGACTTCGACGATAGTAGGGGAAGAGTGTGCTGCTTCCTACATGGGAGCTCCCGGTTTTCCTGCCGACTTGAATTCTCACTTGACTAACTCACGCGCCTCCTTGAGCGACACTGACTCACGCTGCTATCTGGTGTTCACAAGGTGTTTGTCGCGCTGGAAACGGAGTGTCTCTGTAAGTTTGTATCCCTGGTGATGTTTGTGCCAGGAGAGCACTATAATTATAAGTGGTGCTCTTCAGGCACAATGTTCCTCAGCCTACTGAAGCTCAACTGATGAGTTCCCCGAAACACTGTGTATTAAGCAGGGAGTGGTGTGTTGTAAAAAATGATGTGCCGTTTTCCTGTGTGATGGCATTCCCCAAACTGTCTCATCTAGTCTCGTACATGCGTGATATGAGCATGCACGATTTTGCAGTCGAGAGTCCTTTTGTCAGTCTTCTTGTTCGTCCCTGTCAGAGCAGTTTGCTTTTCCATCAGATAAAAATATATAATGTAACAGACAAGACTTGTCCTTTGTGCCCTGCATGTTGGGGAACGGAAGGGCTATGATTCCGTAACAGGTGCTTTCTTGCAGGTTTGCCGAGTGGGCGGTTCAATGGACTTCTCGTGTGGTATGCATAGCAGTCGTGAGTTAGTCAAATAAGAATTCGAAGCGGAGGACAACCGCGAGCTCCCATGTAGGGAGCAACACACTCTTCCCCTGTCTATTGCTGGATTTCCTTATTGAGACCTACTGTATTATTATTATTATTAGAAGCTTCTCTGCGTTGGCATAAATGCAATGTAGATATCACAGCATGTATAGCTTTCGCATAAGCTGAAACGACAACAGCCAAACAGGATATTGATGGCAATATAAAACATATGCGATATAAAACGCGTGACGAAAATAGAATACAATTGAAACAAGCAAACAAGCAGCTCAACCGAGTTGAATTTGAATTTGCTGATCATTACCAAGGTTCATCTGTGAGCAGCAACATATCTCTCCAGAATACGGCCGCTGAGGTAGGTCCACGCTCCGCGATTCTGGGCGATGCTCCTCAGCTCCTCAAGATCTGCCGAGGTCTTGCGGGTCCTCCCAACAAGCTCGAGATCGTGTCTGAGCACGACCGGCAGAGTTGTGCGCGGCCTGCCCCTCCAGGTAGGCTCAGTGGATGGCTTGAAGTAGGAGCACATTGACAGGTTCGCCGGTGCACTCTGGTCGAGCCGCAGCACGTGCCCAAACAGACGCCAGCGGGCTCCCAGGACCGAGATACCAAGTGGTGTTGAGTTTGTCCTCTTGTACAGGGTGTTATTCTTGATCTTAGCTGGGTACCGTATGCCAATAACTTTCCGCAGTTGTTGTCTGTGGAACGCATCAACTCTATGCATAGCGGTGCCAGTGAGGCCCCAAGTCCCGTTGTTGTAGCACAGGACCGGTAAGACGAATGCCTTGTATAGCCGTACTCTCAGCGAATCGTTTACAATGGAACCACGTATCCATAATGCCCAGAGCCGGTGCAGGGCAGCCGTGGCGAGTTGCATTCTCCGCGCAGCATCCTCGTGGTCACCAATGAGGGAGCCCAGCTTCCTAGTGAGGCGCCATTCCTCGCACACTCTGTTGTTCAGCCGTTGAGACCTACTAGTATCGATGGATGTCTCTTTTTGATGATAACTACGTCCAATGTCCGCTTCGCTGATCCTGCTGATTGCCATAATATAGTTATATATTGCGAAACTAGTCTGGCAACCTCGAAACTAAGGAATCATAAGCATTTCTGCTGTTGTGCTTAGCACGTTTCCCATTAGTACTCTTTAGCGAATTACTCTTTATGCACGTTGTCACTTTTGTTCCGCTGTCTTGTTTCTTTTTTACCTTTGAATATTGCTACATTTTCCATGACCACTTCATTCCGGAAGATGGTCATGAAATGGAGTATCCCGTTGTACCCTTGTGCTGCAAGCATTCCTTATGTGCGCTGCCTAGTAATCATTGTCACGTGCGTACGCACGTGTATGCTGTTCCGTGTTTTTTTCTTCTTTTTTTTTCTACAAAATCCACATATCTCCAGACACTGGGGTGAATGATGGAGTGTGGTGGTGGGGCCCATTAAGCTCCGCCGACCAGAGGTCTCGGCTTCATAGCTCCATGGACGCACCAAAGGGATATTTGGGTAGGGAGGATTAAATTGAAAAAGAAAACAGAAGAAAGAAAATGGAAAGATTGTATTGCTCAGTGAGCAAAAGAATAAGTTGAGTATTGATGTGAACGCTGTTAGACTTTTAAATTCAAGAGGAGACTATCCGTGAGGAGAGATTACATGTATGTCCAAGCAGGGTAGGACACTGTACCCTCTTACTCGCGTATGCTATGAGTGGCCCAGTGCCAGTTCGTTCTGAGGAGATGGTGATAAGCTGCTGTCTTGAACTTTTGGATGTTCTTTGGGTGAAATGGGTGGGGAATGATAGAGGTAGGCAGCTGGTTCCAAATTGGGATGACGGAGTGGGGAAAGGCTCGGCTCACATTGGTCCGGGAATTGGCAGGAAGAACATTCTGTAACTGATGGGGATGCACAGTGGACAGTCGTACAGCCTGGCGGGTGAGGCGTGTGGTCCTGGGTTGGTGTGTCGGTGGAGCCATTCTCGAGAGAAAAGTGGGAGAATTATCGCAAAGGGCTTTATACAGGAGGCAGAGGGCAGCGATGGTGCGGCGAATTATGAGGCTAGGAAGCCAGCATTGCGGATGTATTGCCTTGATGGCTCGCTCCTGCACCCAGTCCAGCCGATTCAAGTGGGAAGGAGCTGCCCCCATCCAGACGATTGGGCAGTACTCCATAACCGGCCGGACAAAGGCTTTGTAGGCTCGAAGCCGGGCAGGAATAGTCAGCAAGTGAAATGCCTTGCGCAAGGCTCCAAGTCTCTGCGTTGCTCGGACTACAACTGTTCGGATATGCTGCCTGAATTTTAGCTGATGGTCAAACGTGACGCCGAGTACTTTGATGGAGGGCTGCTCCTCGACAGGAGTTCCATTGAAGACAATGGGGGGTATTGGCCAGTCCCGACGATGGTGGGAAATTGTAAGGGCCTGAGATTTGGCTGGCTCGAACTGCACTTTCCAATCCGAGCCCCAACTGGATACAAGGTCAACAGCAGCCTGGAGTACTCTAGCGTTGTCAGGAACAGCAGCGAGCGTTGCAATTTCGGCGTATAGGGTTGTGTCATCGGCGAATGAGGCAAGGTTGGAGCCGATTGGGAGGTGGTCTTCAAGGTCGTTGACGTAGACCAAGAATAAGGTGGGGCCCAGGATACTGCCCTGTGGCACCCCAGCCTTAACTGGGCGTCTGGCTGATGTCTGGCCGGAGATGAGGACTTGAAGTGTGCGGTTGCAGAGGTAGTCTTGGAGCCACCGATGCAGGTCTCCCGAGATGCCATACACTCTAGCCTTGTGCAACACACCAGTGTGAGACACCCGGTCAAATGCTCCAGCAATGTCGATGGCCAGCACTCGAGAAGCTCCTTTATCTCCGGCGGTGTGCACCCACTGGTGGTGGAGAGCAGTCAGCAGGTCTGCTGCACTGTGGCCGCGACGGAAGCCAAATTGCCGTTCTGACAGGACCTGATTCGTCTCCATGAAGTTGCTCATTGCCCTGTTGACTATGGTCTCCATGACCTTCGAGAGGATGTTCAGTAACGACACTGGTCGATAGTTTGATGGCGACGATTTAGACTTGCGCTTGTGGACTGGACCTACGTTTGCAACCTTCCACTGTTGTGGCTGGATGCCGGAGCGAAGACAGCATGTAAATATTTTTGAAAGTGGCCGTGCCAATTCTGCAGAGCAAGCTTTCAAGACGCGGGCAGGTATCCCATCTGGACCAGTGGCCTTGGTGGGGTTGAGCTGGCGGAGAGTTCGCTCGACTGTGGTCTCGCGAAACCGGACGGTGCAGAGGTTGCAGTCAGTACGTGGTCGGACGTGAGGAAATGGAGCGGATAGGTCGTCTGCCCCTAGACTGCATTTGTTGGCGAAGTGTTCGGCCATGCACTCTGCTTTGCTGCGGTTGGTGTCGTGCTCCGTACCATCGGTGCTGCGGAGAGTAGGTATGGATGGGCTGTTTCCGTGGCCAGAGGCCTTCTTGATGGTTCGCCACCATTCACCAGACGCCATACACCCAGAGGCTAACTTCTGCGCCAGGCTTGCTGTGAATGCCTGCTTGGCAGTTGCCAGGCAATGGTTAGCCGAGTGCTTGGCGACATTGTAACGGGCTTGCAGCTGGGCACTTGACCGGTCGGCGCAGAGTCTCCTCCATGCTCTTTGTTTCTGTGCTACAGCCTCAGTGCATTCCGGTGTCCACCAAGAGGGGTTAGATGGTTTCATGCACAACTGCTTAGACGGTATGTATCGGCGCATTCCTTCCAGAATATTCTGGGTCAAGTGCATACACATTGCATCAGGATCATCACTGACAGTGGACTGCCAATCTGTTGTTCTAAAGAAGTGGCGGAGTCTGTCCCAGTCTGCGCGTTGGTAACGCCAGACAGTTCTGGTCACTGGTGGTTCCTCTGCTGTGCTTACATGAAAGTCAGCTTGGACACAGGCATGGTCAGAGTTTCCCAGAGGTGCTAAGGTATTGACGGTCGCATCTCCCGGTAGGTCAGTCATTATTAAGTCGAGTGGGTTAAGGCCCCTGGTGGGCTCATGCACGTGCTGCTCCAAGCAGTGAAAAGCACACATGTCTTCAGTGTACACACCTGCATGAGTTGTCTTGGTGCTGCCGAGCCAATCCACGTTGTGTACGTTAAAATCTCCAGCCAATACCACATATTGACAAGATTTACGGACCAGGTCTATGCCAGCACTGATGGCTTCAAGGGTACTGATGTCATTGTCGTGGCAGGAGCCAGAGCGATATGCAGCACACACAGCCACTGACTTCTTATCCACAGTTCTGACACTCAGCCATATTAGCTCCTCATTACCGACCTGGATGTCATCGAGTTCTCGGAGGGCCAGACTGGCTTTAACCCAAACCGCAACTCCTCCTCCATGAGCTGTTCGATCCTTCCGCAGTGGGGAGTAGTACCCAGGCAAGGACAGTTCGGAATCAGTAGCCTTCTCAGGGGTTAGCTTGCTCTCTGTGACAATGGAAATGTCAGGTTGGTGAACGTGTACAGCATGGTGAAAGTCACCAAGTTTACTCAGTAGTCCAAATGTGTTCGTCAGCAGGATCCGAAAGGATCTAATTGGAGCTTTGAGCTTGAGTGTCGGAGGATTCGAAGAGAGCTTCACTGTGTGAGCCGGACAAGGTGTCCCCCTTTGGAGCATCACTGAGAGTGTCACTGTGTGAGCCGGACAAGGTGTCCCCCTTCGGACGCTCACGGTGGCGCCAAACCCGCGCGTACAGTGGGCGAGGCCAAATGTTTGGAGCAGTGGCGATTTCAAGGTCAGTCGCATCGATCATCAAGCGGGCAGACACTTTCCCATCTTCTGTGGTGTGTATGCTGCACTGGTGAACCTTCACCGGTTTGTTTACTGCTGCAGAGCGTTGCTCAGTGAATTCCTTGACACTTTCTTCACTGCTATGTGAGTTCAAATTGCCCACATAGATTACGGCTTTCTTCACTCTGTGAGGTTCGTTTGATACCAGTTTCCATGTGTCATCCGTGATTGGCTCTAGCTTCAGTGGCTTGGGCTTGACAGTGGGGCGCTCAATTGCCTGGGACTTGTCCTCATCCTCGGTTGACGTTTCATGGTCACTGGCAGGGTCACCCACGCTACGGGAAGTGCTACGGTGTTCGTCTGCATCAGTGGTACACGTGGCAGCCTGGCCTGCGCGAGTACGGGTACGCTTGCTGGTCCTTCCCGCTGTACTCTCCATCGTACGCTGGCTGTGCTGGTTGTGGGCAACTGCTGGAGGAGTCAGGGGAGAAGCACTTGCTGCGACAATGGCGGACTCCCTGAGGGCGACAACCTCCTCGTTCAGGCCTGCAATTTGCCTCGATAAATCATCGATCCTATTCTTTAGTCGTGTCTCGCGGTCTGCGGACTCCGTCACAAATGTTGCCAGCGTCTTTACTACGTCTAAAATCGAAGACTCGATCCCGGGGAGGGAGCACAACAATTTTACCTCCGAATCCGTCAGCCCGCGAACGGCAGCTTTTGCTGGAGGCATGGCGGAGGTAGGCCAAAGCTATCCGATGTCTACCTAGTTTCCTACTACTACTACTATACCTAATGTTTGAAACCAGGCCGGCCTGATGCCGGTTTCCTGGCGAGAAACTGTGGGAGCCTCAGAGCGCGAAAACCTGCACCCTGCTCCAAAGTTTGAAAACATCGTGTGTATGCACTCATGCATGCACTTTGTGTTCCTGTGTCCCGACATGCTTCCGGGACCCAGGCCGTTCTGCACGCATGCAGATTTGCTCTTGTGTTCTTGTTGTGTCTGGACGAAGTTTGCAAGGAGTGGTGTCTTGCGCTTATCTTTGCTTTCACTCTCTAAACCATGTAAATATTTAATATAGTCTATTTTAGAACTCCTTGTGCGAGTTGTGGTGTCCGTGGGTTTGTAGTGTGGGTGTAGTTCCCCAGCAAGTGGTACCGAAACCCGGCCTAGTTTGATTTGCTGTTGTACGAGCTTAGAGTATGTCTGGATCGGCGAGTTCGTTGCCTCGAGTGAAATGTTTCACGGGTGGTCGAGGAGAGGACTTGGAAGTCTTTCTGACAAAGTTTCAGCTCACGGCAGGTCATCATGGTTGGACCAACAAAGCCCAACGTGCCGCGCAGCTCCCCATGTTCCTTGAGGGCCAAGCGTTTGTCGTCTGGAACCAGCTGAGGGACAGGGACAAAAAGGATGACAAGACTATTGCTTCGGCATTGAGATCGGCCTTTGGCCTGACGCCGGCACAGGCGTATTCTCAATTTGTGAAGCGTATCCTACGTGTGGATGAGAGTGTCGACGTCTATGTGTCGGATTTGCGCCGGCTTCTGGCCACCAGTGGACACATGGAAACTTACGATGGCAGGGACCCTCTGCTGCTCGAGCAGTTCCTCGCTGGTTTGCCACCAGATTTTGCTCTCCAGCTGAGAATGCAGCTGGCGATCAACGACCTGACCCTGGCCCAGTGTGTCGGCCAGGTGCGGACCCTGCGCGCCTCTCAGAGTTTGCCGAGACCTGCTGGCAGCGTTGTGGCCAGCGCATCGGGAAGTCGTTCAACAGTGACGTGCTATCACTGTAAGCAGCCAGGTCACAGGAAACCGGATTGTCCCCAACGTCAACGGCCATCGTCACACAAGGGTGGCAATGGAAGTTCTGGCGCTAGTGGCAGTGGCAATGGTGGTCAGTCTGGTGGTAGTGGTCGGAAAGGCCCGAAGTGTTTCAAGTGCCAAGAGCCAGCATCGACTGGTTGTCTGGCCGCTACTGTTTCACCGGTACCCCGCGCAGTTTCGCCTCTGCCGCGCATCATTGTTGACGTGGTGTCTGGTGAGACGACCCATGAGTACGGTGCTGCTATCGACAGCTGCTCAACCCAGTCGTTTGTCGCTGCCCACGTAGTGTCAGCCCTCAACCTGGATGTGTCCCCGTGTTCCAGCTCCATAGTGAGTGTCACTGGCGATCCGGTACCGGTTCTCGGCTCCGTATCCATGCGGCTTGGCCGCCACAGCGCTGCCGTCCAGCTACCGGACACGGAATCGGCATTTCTCGTGGTGGACGATCTAGCGTCAGTCGACGCAGATGTTCTTCTTGGTGTGGACATTATCTCGGGCCATGGTGGTGTCGTCTTGCAGTATGATGAATTGACCGGCCAGCTGTGCAGGGCTCAGTTCGGGAGTCTGCCTGAGACACCTAGCGTGCCGCCACCAGACAGCAGCAGTAGTAAGAATTTGTCTCGTCATGTGACAATATCTGAGGAGAATGGTGTGGTGCGCCTTGATATGAGTGATGGCACCGCTACCTTCAATCCAGCAGACGGCTACTGGGAAATCGCATGGAGGTGGTCCGCTGGTAATCCCCCCAAAGACCGAGTCGGTAGTGGTCTCGGTGAATACTCACGCAAGAAGCTCTCTGAGGAACAAGAGCAGCTGTTTCGAGCTGAGGTGCAGATGTGGATTGACCAAGGATGGCTAGTACCACACGATGCTGAGGTGCATGGTTCACCCATTGCAGTCTTGCCACTGCTTGCTAATTGTCAGGAGCACAAACTGTCGACTCCCGTAAGGCCTTGCCTTGACTACCGTGCTCTCAACCAGCTCATTGTGTCAAACCCCGGCAATGATGTGCCGGTCTGTCCCGAGAAAATCCGTGAGTGGCGTCAACGTCCCAGTGAGTCCACTGTTCTCGACATTCGGAAAGCATATCTCAACATCCGTGTCCATCCCAGTTTGCTGCCATACCAGACCGTCCTTTGGCAGGGGAAGACGTACGTGATGGAGCGCATGGGCTTTGGGCTTTCAGTAGCGCCCAAACTCATGGATGCTATCGTGAAGTATTCACTCCGAGACTTTGGTTCGGCTGACAACTTCATCGACGACATTGTCGTACCTTGTAACCAAGCGGATGCAGTAGCTGATTGTCTCACTTCCTATGGCCTGCCTACAAAACCTGCCGTGCCGTTCCCAGTTGCCACAATTCTCGGTCTGCAACTCTCTGCGGACGATAGTGGCAAGCTGTCCTGGAGGAGACGACAAGATGTCGATCTGAGCGAATCACCATTGATGAAAAAACGTGATGTGTTCAAGTGGTGTGGGAAGGCAACCAGTCACTACCCCGTAGCATCATGGCTGCGTCCACTGTGTTCGTGGATGAAGCGCCTGGCATGTGCTACCGCTGCACCCTGGGATCAACCGTTGCCGGATGACTTGCAACGTCTCTGCGAGGACGCTTGCAAGCGTGCCCTGCAGGAAGACCCTGTACACGGTGTGTGGTCTGCCCCTGCTGGAAATGATTGGTCTGTCTGGTGTGACGCATCCGACATTGCTTACGGCTGCGTGCTGAATGCGAACGGTCATGTGGTGGAGGACCAGGCTTGGCTCCGGAAGGAGGACGACCGCCGACATATTAATGTGGCAGAACTGGACGCTGCTGTGAACGGTCTCTCTCTTGCAGCCAAGTGGAACTTGTCACGTGTAACGCTGTACACTGATTCCAAGACTGTCTATGGTTGGCTCTCTGGCAAGCTGGAGGCATCGCATCGCGTCAAAGTTGGTGGATTGCAGGAGGTCGTGGTTCAGCGCCGCCTGCAGATCTTAGACGACATGGTGGAGGCCACAGGTATGAGCGTGTCTGTCCAATGGGTGCCGTCGGCTAAGAATCTCGCTGACCGTCTTACCCGTGTTCCCAGCCAATTTGTGCAGTACTGGAAGACAGTGCAGAAGTCCAAGACTCCGTCCGTAAGTGCTGCCGCTCCTGCGGTACCTCGCTGTGTGCCCTTGTCAGAAATCGCGGCACAACAACAGCTAGATTCGGTGATCCATGCGACTATTGCTGAACTGTCTGCTGGTGGAGATGTGTCCGCTACGGAATTCGCCAGGGTGAAGTCGCAGCTCACGACTTGTGACGGCATCTTTTTCCGTACTGTCAAGCTCCCGCCCAACGATGTCAAGTGTGTTCCGGTGGTACCTGTTTCCTTGTGTGATCAGGTCGTCAGCTCTGCTCATGAGTCCACTGGTCACAGCAGTTGGGAGACTACTTACCAGTTTCTCCGGTCTACCTGTTACTTCCCGTGTATGGCTGAGGCTTGTCAGCGGTTTGTGCAGCAGTGTCCCCAATGTGCAGCTGCCAATGCTGCCAAAGGTCCCTGTGCTCCTCCTACTCGTGCAGTTATCGCCGATGGTCCCTGGGATGTTGTCCAGGTCGACACACTGGAGCTTGGTGGCGGCAACTCGTACCATTGCGTCTTAGTGTGTGTTGACACCTTCACCAAGTGGGTGGAGGTGGTTCCCCTTCGGCATCATGATGCTGCCAGTGTTGCTCATGCGCTCGTCTCTGTTTGTGCTCGGTGGGGTCCGCCCCGGTTGCTTCGCTCCGACAATGGCACAGAGTTTGTGAATGCCATCACTGATGCGCTGTTTTCGAGGTTTGGCATCTCCGTGCAGCGTGGAGCAATCCGTCACCCTCAGTCGCAGGGATCTGCTGAGCGGTTCAACCGCACCCTGCTCACGTTGATCCGGAAAGTGCTTACCGACGCCGCCGACTGGAGGGCCGAGTTGGATTTGCTCCTTTATCACTACCGGATTCGATCCCATGCCGTTACAAAAATTCCACCGATGCATGCCATGTGTGGCTGGACGCCACGAGATCTGATTGTTGAGAGTGTGACTGATCCGGTCTCTCTGAGTGCATGGGTGGATGGCCTCGCGCAGCGTAGTGCTCGTATCCGTGATCACCTCGATGCTGCTTTGTCCGCTGTCGATTTCCAGGAATCCGATTGGCAGTGCCCGTACGCTGTCGGGGAGAACGTCCTCTTTCGTCGTCCTGCGCGTCACCAGAAGTGTCTGTCGCCATTCGAATCTGGCTGGCATGTGAAGCACCTAGTTTCCCCATCCACTGTTGTCATTGCCCGTACCAATGGTCAGGGTGAAAAAGTCGTCAACATTGGCTTGCTCAAGCCCGTCTATCATGCTGCTCCTCCGGGGGATGATTTGCTCATTCCTGATGCTGCTGCTCTGAATGCTGTCCCGGTTGTTCAGCGAGCGCTGCGTGACCGATCTGCCTTACAGCCTCCTGTGCGTTTTCGAGACACTGGTTCTGCATGAGTTTGCTTTTGTTGCAGCTCGTTCTGAGCAGGGTTTTTTTGTGTTTTGCTTTTCCCTTCTATTTCTTTTTCTTTCTTTAGTGCTCTTCATTGCTGTGGTGTCCATCATGTGGCCAACAGAGGGAGGGGTGAAATGGAGTATCCCGTTGTACCCTTGTGCTGCAAGCATTCCTTATGTGCGCTGCCTAGTAATCATTGTCACGTGCGTGCGCATGTGTATGCTGTTCCGTGTATGCACTCATGCATGCACTTTGTGTTCCTGTGTCCCGACATGCTTCCGGGACCCAGGCCGTTCTGCACGCATGCAGATTTGCTCTTGTGTTCTTGTTGTGTGTTGACGAAGTTTGCAAGGAGTTGTGTCTTGCGCTTAGCTTTGCTTTCACTCTCTAAACCATGTAAATATTTAATATAGTCTATTTTAGAACTCCTTGTGCGAGTTGTGGTGTCCGTGGGTTTGTAGTGTGGGTGTAGTTCCCCAGCAGTCATGCAGATCGAACCGTTTAAATAATTAGATGACGTGAGAAGTGCCGTACTTATTTGAGTGTGTACAAGTTGCCTGTAAATGAATTACCCTCATTGAAGCTGCACGAGGGGTCCTTCACAATTTTGAAGACACACAACCCTTACTAAAGAAAATGAAGACCGACTTACGTATTTCACACACAACACGCAAATGCTGCGCTAGGCCAATTTGTTGCGAGTTTGAGTCAAGTGCTACATTTCCTTTTCGCAATCCTACCCATGCAACCTTGTATATGGTGGTTAAACCAACCGAGCATAAAGCGTGGAACGACGCTTCAGAGAGGATTGTACCATTGTGCCTGCCACACAGTGCTTGAGCAGAAGTGTAATTCAATTTGAGGCCATGAGTTGATATTCTAGTTATGCTACCAGACGCTCTGCAAATTTTCTTGTCAATCAGCTCTGCAGTTACATAAACACACATGCACACACACACACACACACCCGCACAAACACACACACAACCCCCCCCCCCCCAACCACACACACACACACACAGCGAAACCAACAGAGAGCAGTCATATAATATTATTCCTGTAGCTATGCAGAAGACGTTACTTCAGTAAAGTCTGGTGCTAGCCAGGGTCCACACAGCTTTAATTTGAAGAATGAGTATGAATGCGAAGTGTATGGGGGAATGCATGTAGGGCGATAGTGCGGGTTCGAATCCCAGGTAATGCCTGAAAAAAATAGAAAAATTGAAAAATTTACAACATCCCTATTCTTTTTTTGCCGTCATCAAGGCGGTAGATGGTGTCGTATTACCCTCCACCATACATGTCCCGTACCTGTCCCGTACCTGTCCCGTACCGTACCGTACAATCAATTACGGCTGGCCACAATGCATATTCAAATAGGGCTTTCAAATACAAGATCATAACGTGAAGCAACTAAGAATAATTAATAGAATGTATGCAAAGTGTATCGGGGAGTGCATGCAGGGCGATAGTGCGGGTTAGAATCCCAGGGTAAGTCTAAAAACAAAAAAGTAGAAATTTATAAGAATTTATAACATCGCTACAAAGACAACTAATTACACAGTAAGCATTATGTCGACATGTATGTGTAAAATGATTATCGCGAGGCACACACAGAAGGGAAGGCGGGGATTCGTTCAGAACTGTTTTCTTGTTACAATCATCAGTGAATCCACTAAAAACAATAATCGTACAACATTTTACACATACATGTCGACATAATGCTTACTGTGAAATTAGTTGTCTTTGTAGCTACATTAAAACTTCTGTCTCCGAAACGCTTGTTCATTTTATAACATCCCTATGCTTTTTTTTGTCTAGGTCATCAAGGCAAAAAAGCATAGCGTAGGGCCCTGAGCTTCCAAGCTCTCTCGTTTATGGCAGCCAGTTGAACGCACTGCCATCGTGGTAAACGCCATGGAGAAAAATAAAAATGAATGGCTAATGAAAATAGAATCTGATGCTTGTCTATGTGTAGAGGCCCTTAGAAACATGTTTTTATTTGAGTGAGCGAGGGTCATTATTTCTTCATGATACACTGGGTACGGAGCAGAAGTCATCAATGCGCTTAAAGACAGGCAAGGATAGTAAAACAGGTTTTTAGTTGTTTTTGTTGCTGGCAGATACCAAATTGGACAGACTAATATTATAGCCAGCGCACGCGAAAAGGGGGCTAACGTACTTGCACTTGAAAACTGTCAAAAAGCACTTCAAAGTTTGACGTGCGCTTTTTGCGTGGATTTTGAAGTTGAGTCGCTGCGATTCTGTATAATCTCGCGCGTTTTCGCAATTTTGCGCAGGTCGATGACACGAGAATGGGGTTGACGATCTAAGCTTTCCACCAGTCTTTAGATTTTGCAAATCGGTCCTCGCGTTGCTGAGATTCGTTTGTTTGAAGCTGCTCTTGTTTTCTTGAGAGAGCTTCTTTCTCAACAATTTTTTCTCGCTCTTGCCATGAGTCAAAGAATAGTCTTCACTGTCGATGAAGCTCTTGCTGACATGCTCAGGGAGTGCGAAGATGAGTTTCTTGGCGATCCTGAAAGTAGCTCTGACAGCTCTGTCGCTCCACTTCAAGATTCTGGTCAGGAAATTGCTGAACAGGGCGTAGAATCGCAAGTTGACACTGACGACGCAGACCAACTCCACTACCTCAACTCCAGGGTGAACTCCGATGTTGCAACAGCGAACTACCTGCATGTAGAGCCTCAAAGCGACTCTGTTGAGGCTGGAGTTATCGCTGATGAAGGAAATCTAACAGTAGAAGACGAAGCAATAGTGGAGAACATCCCTGCTGCTGCTGCTGCTGATGCTCCTGCACCTGGATTTGCTCAGCTCCAGAATTGTGGATGCACCAAGAACTGCCTCCGTAAGTTTGACAGAGTAACTATTGAGCAGTCAACACTAAACATGAGGGAAATGGAGAAAAGGGAGAGCGATACCGTGCTATTGGGAATTTTGGAGTCCTGCCGCCACAATACCAGTCAGAACGCGCATGGGGGAAAGCGTCGCCACGAGTCCTTCGCCTACAGATTCCAGGGTGTCGATGTGTGTGTTGGTGCATTTCGCTACGCGTACGACATCGGCAAGAAGCATTTGTATGGTCTTCAGCAGCACCTGGAGAAACACGGACTGGTGCCCAGGGTCCATGGCAATACAGGCAGGCGACCACATAATGCGCTCCTGTACGCTAACGTGAAGAGATGCGTTCAGTTCATCAACAACCATGCAGAAGTCAACGGCATTCCGCATCCAGCCCCGCTGCGTGGACGTGATGATGCTCCTCCAGTGTTCTTGCCTGCTACCCAAACATACAAGAGCGTACATGCCTTGTACAAGGAATCTTGCGCGGCAGCCCAAGTTGAGATCATCGGTGAATCATCGTTCCGCTCCATTTTGCATAGTTGTTTGCCCAACATCAAGTTTATGACGCCACGCACCGATGTATGCTTGACGTGCGAGCAGCTGCGCAGAGCCGTTATGTCAGCAGTCTCAGAAGCAGACAAATTGAAGCCCTGTGACACTCTCTCCAGCCACATCACCCATGCGCAAGCTGAGCGGCAATACTACAAACAGAAAACATTGGATGCCAGGGCTGAAATGGAACAGCCAACAGGAGAGCAGCGAACATGTGTGCATTACACGTTTGATTTTACGCAGAATGTGTTTCTCCCTCAAACAGCTCGTCAAGAAGGACCACTCTACTTCAAGACACCATTCAAGGTCCAGCTGTTTGGCGTATGCTGTGAAGCGGTTCCACGGCAGGTGAATTACCATCTTGGAGAGGCCGATACCATTGGCGAGGATTGCAAAAAGTCTCATAATCCAAACACCGTTGTGTCCCTGCTCCACCACTACTTCGCTGTTCATGGTTTAGGTGAGGATCAATGCTTTCTCCATGCCGACAACTGCGCTGGGCAGAATAAAAATCGCACTGTGATGGCTTATCTTGCGTGGAGGTGTATCACTGGCCTCCATCAGCGTATCAGCCTGTCCTTCATGATCACTGGAAACACACGCTGCCCGGTGGATGGTCTGTTTGGTCTTCTGAAGCAAAAGTATCGCCGATCAGATATCTTCACCTTGCCACAGCTTGCCTCCGTAGTGAACAACAGCACTGCCGCCAACGTTGCTCAACTTGCAGCTGGGTCGACAATTACCTGGTACGAGTGGGACCGCTTCCTGCCCGACTTCTTCCGGCCAATCCCAGCCGTGAGCCAGATGCACCACTTCACCTTCGCTGCTGCCACACCAGGCATGGTTGAAGTGCAGAAGAGCATTGGCGGAAGCAGTGACTCTGTTGACATGCTGAAGACCACCGTGCAGGCAGTGCAAGATGCAGGCTTACCACCAGTCATTGCACCTGGAGGTATGAGCAGAGCTCATCGCCAGTACTTGCACAAAGAAATCCGTCCGTTTGTGCAAGAGCAGTTCAGGGATGACCTATGCCCACCAGTCAGTGACTAGACAATTAGAGAGCCGTAACTGTACAGTTCTAATCGTGTCCTCTTCTGTAACTGTATAATATTCTCACCATGTTGCCGATGAACACGATCACGGAAATTGGCTGCTTACGGCCCACGACTGTGCATGTGTGCGGTCTTAGTCGAAAATGCTGATTTTGCCTCTTCTGTGTTGGTCCAAACTAGGCATTAAAGTGCACTCTGTACATCATGAATATGCTTCAAATGCTTCATCAAGAAAATAGTGTCAGCGTATGTACAATGTCTAGAACAGACAATCATTTTTTTCTTTGCATTGCAAAGTGTGATACTTGCCAACAGACCACCTGGCACTAAAACACCTATAACATTGCAAAGAAAAGAGATTTTTTGATGCGTTTTTTTGCAAAAGATTTCTGAAACATGTTGGAGTAACACTAGATAGTCAGCTCGAAATGTCAGATTTTAGAGGTTAACCCCCTTTTTGCATGCTCTGGCTCCTCGGAGTTTGAAGAAGATCTAGATGCCAAAAAAAACTGTGTGGTTCCGCGGGGGGGGGGGGG